AGGTCCAGCCCCAGCAGACCTGAGTGACCCGACCCCTTTGCACTCAGTCTCAGCCCCTCCAACAGGGAACAGACACACAGTGGCAGATCAACCCAGGGCAAACCCAAGTGCACACTAAACTCCTCCCCTGGAAGTCCTACTCTGAAGGCTAAAGCAGCGTTTCCCAGCCTGTCCCATCCCATGCCAGCCACAGCCTGATCCTTACACCAGTAGATCTGCGCCGCTCCTGTGCATGGCCCTGGATGAAGCAGCAGCCTGGGAACCAAGTGCCTGTGCACAGGCCATACATGGGGTGTGGCTGAGTCACCATACAGCCTGCCAGGCAAGCAGGACAGTTTCCATGGGGATGAGGAACCAGGGTGGTGACGGGGGCAGCTGTTTCCTGGATGGGGGAGTAGGGGAAAGCCTCCCAGGGCACCAGAGTACACAGCTCCAAGAATACTCACAAGGCAGCCCCAGTTCCCACGTACACCATGATCATGGGACTCCACTGTGCAAAGAGCAGGGCTCCATGCTGAGCACACAGGCAGGCCTGGCGGGAGGAGGGTTTCCCCTCCCACACGCACTGCAAGGCACCTGTCTAACAATAGCCTGAGACAGCAGGACAGGTCACCCTGAAGTGTGAAGCTAGGGCTGGCCAGGAGCTCCCCACCGAAGATGTCCTCCCACGGCCTCCCTTGGAACAGCAGAGCTCAGGCAGGTGAGCAAAGGCCTCAGAGGAGAGGAAGGAAGGTGCTCCCAGGCACAGGTGAGGTGCGTGCACTCTGGACAGTGCAGGGCCAGCTGGCAGGGAGACAGAAACAGGAGCTCTGTGCGGGGAATTCTGCCTGATGAGCTCCTGGCCTCAGACCGGCCTGGGAGGCGGAAGAGGACAGAGTCTGTGACAACCCACTGCAGGAGGTTCTTTAGCTACTCAGCTTACAAGCAGACAAATAGTGAGGGCCGGGTCCAAAATGTAGTCAGCCTGGTATGGGAGACTAGTGCATGCGAATTAAGAGCTAATGCAAGCCATACCAACACAGTAAAAACAAACACTGAGAAAGAATAGAGTTAAAGAGAGGCAGTTAGGAAGCCTCCGGGCTGGCTTTCATGGGAACTTAAAAGACACAGACTAACCAGTTTCCTTTAAACTCTGCCCTGGTACAGTACCTGATTTTCTTTACCCAGCACTACAAAGCCAAGCCCCAGGCGACCACTGGACAAATTCCCACACTCTGCTCACTCCTAAAGACTTAGAGGGGAAGCCCTCCCCACCCTCTGTGACCCCTCTCTGCCAGGAGCTGTTTTTCCTTCTATTTCCAATGAGCACTCCCCGAGCTTCTTCTCTGTTGCCCACAATTTCTTTGACTTAGCGAGACACTGGACTTGGTTTATACGGTGACAGCTGTTCTGCCAGCACAGGAGTCAGGCTGAAATGACCCCAGGTGGCCAGAGCCCCTGCCCTGATGATGGTGGCCAGGTGCTGGGTCGGGTAGCCACAGGAGTCAAGCCAGTGTTTCAGAAGAAAAGGAAGGATCTGCAAGCCCAGTCAGAAGGAAACAGTCCCCCCAGTTTGGTGTCCACCACTGTATTTAACTTCAGAAAGAACTCAATGCTAAGCATCCCTGAGCCTGCGTGAGTTCTGACCAGCCAGGCAGCTTCTGGGTGCTCAGGGGTGGCCATCAGCTCACAGAGACACCGTGTGAGCCTCAGGGCTAGAACCAGAGCACTCCAATCTGCTTTTGCCCAGCAGCCCAGCGTCCAGAACACCCCCGAGGACCAAAAAAAAAAAAAAAAAACCAAAAAAACAAAATGCAAAAGGGCTGGGGATTTAGCTCAGGGGCAAAGCGCCTGCCTGGCAAGCGCAAGGTCGTGAGTTCGGTTCCTGGTACCAGAGAAAAACCAAAAAAAAAACAGAACACCCCCGAGGACATGAGGTAGGGGGTGCTCTCCTTGGGGGCAAGGTGCACTGAAAACACCAGGGTACATAGTCTGTCTGCCCTTGCCCCAAACAAGACAATGTGATGGGCTCAGTGGAGTCACATGGCTGACCCTGGCTGGCTACCCCTACAAGGCCTAGTCTTAAGGCAAGCTCTTCTGGAAAACTCGTCCCTGAGCCAGAGGAGCTCCCAGCTTCTTGGGAATAGGCAGGAATATTAGCAAGACTGGGGAAGGGTGTGGGCCACAGTCAGCACGTCCCTAAGCCACAGAGGCAGGCTCACTGTGAGACACGAGTGTCCACAGATCCACGCAGAGCAAGGCCCCAACCACTCGGCAGTGAGCCAGTCGTAGCCTGTGCTTCTGAGACCAAGGGCCTGCCAGATATGAAAACAGCCACTTTTGGACATGGAAAGCAGATAGTGAGTTCTCTGTTCAGAAATCCACCTGCAATTTAGTCAATCCTTCAACACTCAAAAGAGCCACGTAAAACAGAAACACAGGACACCATAGGTCCAAAATTCCTTGCCACATTCACCCTGTGCAGGTCCCAGGACAGCACTGAGACCAGAGCAGTCCACATTAACACAGTGCCAGGGCTGGGGGTTTAGCTCAGTGGCACAGCGCCTGCCTGGCAAGAGCAAGGTCGTGAGTTCAATTCCCGGTACTGGAAAAAAAAACCAAAAAAAAAAAAAAAAAAAAAAGGACATCAAGGAAGCCAGCAGGGTGCAACTAAAGGCACTCACAAAAATGGATTTCCATAACTACTTGGGGGCTGAGGATTTAGCTCAGTGGCACAGTGCCTGCCTGGCAAGCACAAGGTCATGAGTTCAATTCCTGGTACCAGAAAAACAAACAAACAAACAAACAAACAAACAACAACAAAAAAAACCACAGTGCCAGGGTGCCACAGTTACAGGGAGGGCAGGAGTGGGTTGGAAGACCTTGCTGGGCAGAGAGCTAAGCCAAGCCTGGAAGCAAGCAGGGCAGTGACCAGCTGGTGTAGCAAAGAGCACTGTGGCCCACTTCCTAGCATGGGCCAGTGAGAAGGCAGCCCAGTGCTGGGCGCAGTTTAGGGGAAAAGGCGGCTGCCTTCAAAAGCGGGCGTGAAGCCACACGGTGGAGTGCACCTGTGGTCCCAGCTGCTTGGGAGGCTGAGGTAGGAGGATCATTTGAGCTCAGGAGTTTGAGACCAGTCTGGACAACAGAGTGAGACCCTGTCTCTTACCAGAATAAAAATAAAAAGGTGGGCAGGGAGTTGAGAGGGCCAATAAAACATATCAGTATTTTGTTGCAATAGCTATATAAACTTCAGAATTACACCAAGAGTAATCACTGGGCAGCCCTACAGAGCTAATTCCCTCAGTCCATTTAGAGAGGCGATCTGTCTCAGACACTGTCCTGAGTGTCTCCACGCTGGGCAAGCATGAAAAACTTCGGCACTGGGGATCAGCAGGGGTGGGTGGGATCAGCACTGGGGATCAGCTGCACATCTGCCACAGCAGGATACCTGGGAGTTCACGCTTGGAACACCAAGCTTCCAGACAGAGCAGAGGTATGCAAGTGGGGCCCATTCCCATCCTGCATGGGCAGGAAGTCATTCCACAATTCAGAGGCTGACAATGGGCCCTGAAGTCCTGGGAGAAGGTGCCCAGGTATGATACCACACGGTGAGTCAGTGCCCCCTATGGCTGAGTCCAGTGGAGCCAGATGTCCTGGCAGGTGTGGGCTGAGATTGGATTCTACGTGATCAGAATCAAAGATGACACAGCTGCAGTGCATGGGCCTTTAGATGGCTTGGGGGCCAGGGATATAGCTCAGTGGTACAGCGCCTGCCTAGCAAGCGTGAGGTCATGAGTTTGATCCCCCGTACCACAAAAAAAAAAAAAAAAAAAAAAAGAAGGCTTGGGCTGCTCCTGCACATGGAGCCCTGGTTCTGTTCCATCATGGATACTGACACTAAACTTCTCACGAGGCTCTCTTGCTTGCCCTCATTCAGCAAGGAAAGGGAGGTCTTCAGCAAATGGTGCTGGGAAAACTGAATACCCACATGCAAAACAATGAATTAGACTCCTATCTCAAACCATTCAAGAAATTAACTCAAAATGGGCCAAAGACCTGGGCTTGGTGGCAAACGCCTGTTATTCCAGCACTCAGAAGGCTAGGGCAAAAAGATCACCTTCAGTTTGAGGCCAGCCTGGGCCACATAATTGAGTCCAAGGCCAAGTTGCACTACTCAGCCAGACCTTGTCTCAAAAAAAAAAAAAAAAAAAGGTCAAAGGCTTACAAGTAACAATTAAAATTGAGATTCCTAAAGAAAAATGCAAAAGTAGACTTTTGTGGTCTAAACAATGGCATCTGAGATGCAACACCAAAAGTACAAGCAACGAAATAAATGCAGATGATTGGGAATTTCGTGCTTCTAAGGACCTTATCAAGAGAGCACACTGACACCCCAGAGCACTGCATATGCCAGGAACCACTGCAGTGCACTCTGCCGTGCGTGTACACCAAGGCACGTGAACTATGTCTCAGCAAACACACACTAAGTGCCACCTGCTCTGACTCTTATCCAGGCCATGCACTGTTCTAGCACTCAAGGATGCTTAAACCCATGAAAGGGTTGAACCACGCCCGACCCTGTCCGCCTTCCCCATGCCCACCACAGTGCCACCAACAACTGCAGCGGGCCACCAGTGGTCCACCACGACACAGGACAGCTAACGGCTTAGGAAGCCCCAGCTATCCCACAGGAAGACTCACAACACCTGGACCGCAGCTGCTGTGCACCTCTTGACCGGTAGTGCAGACACACAGCAGGGCCACCTCTCCCAAGCCCCAGAGGCTGGATATACCCTGAGAGCAGGACTCTCGGGGGTCAGGAGCAGCACAGCATGCAGAGAGTGCACTGCCTGGCACAGTCCCACGTGACTTTGGCAGAGAGCCATTTCCATGCAGGGTGGATGGCCGCAGAGTTTTACAGCAAGACCCTTGGGAGAAGAGCTTCAGGTCTGGGGACTGAGGGACAGACACAGTAAGTGCTGACCAGGGGCCCAGCATGCCAGGGGCCCAGGGAGGCCTACCTTGGTGGCTGCGGGGACCGGGGCTTTGGCTTGTCCTTGTCCTTCTCCCGCTCCTTGTCCCTGTCCCGCTCTCGGTGCTGTCTGTCCTTCTCATCACGCTTGGCTCGCTCTCTCTCCCACTCCTCCTTCCTCCGCTGCCGCTCCTTGTCGCGCTCACGCTCGCGCTCCCGCTCTCGCTCCCGCTGCCTCCGCTCACGCTCCCGGTCCCGCTCCCGCTCGCGCTCCCGTTCCCGCTGTCTGTTCTCGCGCTCTCGGTCTCTCTCCCTTTCCTTCATTAAAAAGCCAAACAGTGCTGGGATGAGGGCTGTGCTGCCGGAGTGCAGAGGAAGCGGGTGTGGGATGGGCTGGGATTGCTCCGAGAGGCCACTGTTCCCCATCTCCCCCTAACCTGTGCTAGAAAGAGCTGGGTGCCACAGCGGAGTGCAGCTACCCAGTCACCAAGCCCAAAACTCTGCCCCCACAACCCATGGGACTGCCACACTGCCGCTCGCTCCACATGCCGAGAGCATGTGGCTCCCTCCTGGGGACGGAGGTTGCTGTCATGGCCGGCGTCAGCAGGCGGCATCTGGGAAAGAGTGGCCCCCATAACACCACCCTCCAGCACTGGTCTGTCTACGCTCTGGCAGTCACTGTGAGAGCAGAGTAAGTCCAATTGCACACACAGGACACTGTGTGTGAAGTGGCTTTGGCCACTTCAGGTCCCCAATGCTGCCCTCGTGCCTTCCTGGAGAGGATCTGCGCATAGGTAGGGGCAGAAGGTCAAGCCAGGGTCCTTCGGGACTGTGGGGTCATCTGCACAGTCACCACCTGATGCGCCAGGAGACAAACACATGGCTCTGCCACCTGAGGGCACAGCACCAACCCTGCTCAAGGGCTTCTTGGGGATCCTTCCCATGCCACCTGAGAATGAAGATAAGTGGATCATAGGGGCACCTGGCTCAGAGTCAGACCGGCCTCCGCCGGACACTCACAGCACGAAGCCGGAAGGGGTGAAGGGGCACTGCAGTGAGCAGCCCCGAGGGGACCTCCAGGAGTGACAGGCTCAGGAGGGTGAGGCAGCCCTGGACATGGGTCAGCACCTCATGTGCAATGTGAGATTACAAAGTCGGCATGAACAGAGCTTTCTAGAAAGCCTCTGTTCAGACCATCAGATTTAAGCTGGGGGTCAGATTTAAGCTTGTCCTCCATGAACAATGTGGGCTTGATTTTAGTACTTTGGGTTCAACTAGTGCACGGTACCAACAGAAGCTCACATAAATCCCTGTAAATAAAAAGAGGTGATTTGGGCCAGGTGCAGGAGACTGAGATAGGAGGATCACAAGTTCAAGGCCAGGCTGGGTAACTAGTGAGACCCTGTCTCAAAACAGAAAGAGGAGTGGTTTTAACTGATAGAGCAGTGACGTTCATGTCCCTGGCAAGGAGTCATACTTACTCGGTAATTATGATACGGCTCTGCATCTGTGTATTGCACCCTGAAATTCTCGTACTGTCCACCACGCCAAAACCGTTCTATTTCATAGTCATAGTAAGGATCCGCATAAGGCTCAAGTCTGAAAAAGTAGCCAATAAGAAGGGACTCATCACTTACATGTAATTAGGTAAAATTTCTACACAAAACACAAGCAAACAGAACCCAACACATCAGGAAAATAATACCCTGTGACTGGGCATGAGATGTTCCACAAATGCAAGGTCTGGTCAGTGCTGGAGATCTAATCATGTGCTGCCCATACCAGCAGACCTGAGAAGCCGTAGGATTACAGGCACAGGTGATACAGATGTCTCTAAGGATCATTCCATACCCATTCAGGGTAAATGCTCAAGAATTTAACAGCAAAGAATGTGCACTTTCCTAAGAAAGTAAGAACATATGCACTCTTTAACAACAGGCACCTCCACTTATGACCTTGATACTTTTTTTTTTTTTTTCCCCCCCTCTGGTACCAGGAACCGAACTCACGACCTTGCACTTGCCAGGCAGGCGCTTTGCCACTGAGCTAAATCCCCAGCCCCCTATAAAGAACTTCTTTTTTTTGTTTTGTTTTTTTTCAGTACCAGGAATCGAACTCACGACCTTGCACTTGCCAGGCAGGCACTGTGCCGCTGAGCTAAATCCCCAGCCCATATGCACTCTTTAAAACCACAGTACTCTGGAGGCCAAGGGAGGACTGCTTGTGAGCTCAAGGCCAGCCTGAACTACATAGCGAGACCCTGTCTCAACAACAAAAACCACCAAACCAAAAAAACAAAACCCACGGCTTCCCTCTTACTTAGCGGGGACGTGGGGTGGCTCCCCGGGATTGGAACCAGGCAGGACACCTGCAGGGGCACTGCCAGCAGCAAGACAGACAGAGGAGACGAGAGATGCCTGGCAGGAGCAGGAAAGCAAGCTATCTAGGTTGCCAGACATCTGACCTGGCCCTGAAAACCTAGAGACTTAATGATAAAGTCATTCTACACAAGCAAGCAAGGGCTTGGGAAGGCAAGAGGACAGAAACTGAAAGTGAGGTCCCCTTGTGTCCAATGACCAGCAGGAAACAGCGTGGGGAGAAAACATCATCTGCAGTGCAAGCAAAGAGAAAATGCTCAGAAGTAAACACAATCATCCAGAAACACGCAGAGCCTATACCCGAGACACAAAGAATACATCACCAGGTCAGGTTCCCACCCTGACTCTTGAGCCTGAGAGAGAGGAGTGAGGAGCCTGACCACAGGATGGACACGCCGGCACCACTCACAGGCAGGCAGACACAAGACCAGACAAAAAGTTCTGCAAGAGAAGATGCTCTGGAATACAGCAACCCCTAAAGACCCCACAACCACCCACATCCTCACAGCGCATGCAGAAACACACGGTTGATGGAAGAAAGCATGAGGCCCAGAGACAGATCCAAGCATGCACACAACGGTGGCCTCTTACAGGCTGGGAGGCTTCTCACTGAACAGTGAGGACATCAGTCTCCCCGCAGGATGAGTCCCCTCGAGTCCCTGCCCCGGGCTCCCCAGAACAGATGCGCTTACTGCACCTGCGCTGGACTGCGAGCCCTTCCTCTGCCCTTTCCCTGCGCAGGCGGGAGGGGGAGGAAATGCACACACTGGACGGGGCCTGGAGGGCAGCTGGCTGCGCTCTGGGAACTCTCCCTGAGGGACCAGAGTGATCTGTCCAGTCCAAACAGCCCAGTATCACTTAGTCTCACCTGTAGATGCCCACGTAGTACCCCTTACACCCAGCAGTCACATCTGTGGGTGTGAGTGGTGTGCAGCATGCTGCACACCCTCGCAGGGAGGATGAGAGTGTTCTGAGCAGGCTTCTCCTTGGCCTGGAAACAACCAGAGCCCTTGTGCAGCCAACCAAGGCTTGTATGCACATGGTCCTGACAGAACAGCAGTACCAGCAAACTCCTTTTTTTTTTTCCAGCAAACTCCTTTTGGGAAGCTGATTAAATGAAATGGAAAGGGCTTCCTGCAACACACCTCAGACTGTGCACATGGCCATTCACTGCCTATACTTGCTCCAGGGACAGAGCGTGCGGGCCCCCAGCAGCTTCCTGTGCACGTCGGGGATAGCACACACACACCAGGGATGGCACATGGCCTCCTGCAAGCACAGATACCTTGCACCACGAGTCCCCCAGGCCAAGAACTCTGGGCAGGGGCACTGGCAGTGCACCCACTCGTCTGTGCGGCAAAGGCCCGAGGTCCTGCCCCACGAAGGCAGCACAGCCCACGTCAGGACAAGGTAACAAAAGTTAGGAGTTTGGAGCTGGGAGTGCAGCGATCATATCTCACTTCAAAAAGGGCAAAACTGAAGCCCAGAAACTCAGCTCTTGAGCTGGCCAAACTGAGTGGGAAGACCACCTGGCACGGTCCTGTCCCCACCAGCAGCACACCTGTGTGACAGTCTCCTACCAGTGGGGGCCACACAGGTGTTGCTTCTGGCTGCCAGGACCTGCCCCTGCTTTTCAGCCCTGTAGCTCCATCGGCTCAGCTCCCTCATGGCACCTAGTACTCCCTTCCTGCCTCTGTGCCCAGCAGGCACAGGTCCGCCCATGTCCCCGCACTCTCCTGCAGCAGCACTAGACCTTACCTCAGACTCTGACTGAGGGGTCCAGATCAGCTCTGAGGGACTGAGGAGAACTTCATTCCCATGTGCAGAGGGCCAGACCACATGGCAGCGACAGGGACACCTGCTTGTGTACTGAGGGCCACAAGCACCACGAAGCCACACAGCCTGAGCATTGATTGCACTGCCTCCACTTGGGCACATTTTCCAAGCCCCTGTCCCAGCCGGGTGAAGTGGATAGGGTATCAAGGACCAACTGTCTGGCTCCAAAACCCCTCTTGCCCTACTTCATATAAGCCTATGCCTTCAAAGCGCTGCACATCTCAGGCTCCTGCAGTCTCACAAACAATATGGCAAACAGTCAAAAAATTTACTACAGTAGAAGACACATTGCCATGAATCCCCCTCAAAATCTCCTCTCACTTCAAACACACTCATCCCATTATCCTTGCCACTTTCTGAAGCAGTGCTAGAGTCCTCTTTCTTGAAGGTCTTTACTCACTGGATCTGGCACCATTTGACTTCTGGCTCCTCCCCCAATTCAAAATGACCATGAAAAGAAAATGCTTTGAATCCATTCAGGCACTGAGGCAGCCACTACAGTGCAACTAAAGACATGAAGAGGACATTCAAAGCCGCTGTAGAAAGTGGCAAGAATGACAGGATAAGTGTGTTCCAGGTGAGGGGGATTAATGGCAAATGCATCTTTTACTGCTGTTAAGTTAAAAAAAATTTTGCACATTTATTGTACTGCAATCACACCTCATACACAAGATCCCTCAGTGAGCTCACAGACAGCTGGGCTAGACGTGGCCCTGATGCTGACACTTTCTGTGATCTGATGCTGTCTATGTGCAGAAAGTAATCAGAAAGCTCCAAGTCTGACCTGTGGGGCCGTATCCCAGCAGGTCTGTGGAGAGTAAGGAACCCTATACACACGGCTTCTCCTCCATATCTATGATGAGGCTCAGTTCACAAATCAGGCACAGTGAAATTAAATCAGGCACAGGAGATTAAAGAGATTAACCACTAATAATAGGGCACAGCTATCATAACAATGTTCTGTAATTAGTTACTCAGACCATTTGAAATGCTTACTTCTGGAATTTCCCATTTAGTATTTCAGAGTGCAGGTAACTGACTTGCAGAATGCAAAGCCCCAGACAAGAAGACTGATCTAGACTCTGGTGAACCCCACCTCTCTATTCTCTGTGCTGACACCTCCCGCAAATCCACAGATGTCATGGAGGCAAGAGGCAACCAGGGCTGAAACACATGCATATCACATGCCTCCCTCTCAGCAGAGATGGCGGAGACCACGACTTCCTGATGGCATCCTACATTACAACTCGATACTAGAGATTAAGCTCCAGGTCAGCATGGGCTCTAGGGAGATGGCAGCTCCGCCCCAGCCCTGCGTCCTGGTGCCCCCCGTGATGTGAGACCTGCTGAGGGCGGCAGTGCACAGGGACAGCTTGTGCGCAGCCACACAACTCCTCCACACTGCAACTTCTGAAGATCAGTGAGGACCATGTGGGGAACAAGAAAACAACAGCGGGAGGGGCCCCAGCTGCTGTGCTCTGTGTGGAGTGACAAACCCAGGCTTCTGGCCCTTGTAACCAGCAGCGGGCAGAAGACACACACAGAAACCTGGGGCTCGGGACCTCAGGGACAGCTGGGAGAACCACAGGGGAGCAGGCTACACACGGCCCACACAGAGCAGACACCCTGCACAGGAGCAAGACCCAGGGACGGGAATCAGCCCAGGGCGTTTCCTCCTCAAGGGTGGATGGCACAGCCCCCCTTGGTGCCCTGTGACCCAGGGGCACATGGTTTCCTTTCACAAGAGAAGAAGAGGTAGAGCACTCCTTACGCTGTATCTCTGGTATCTCTTGGGACCCGAGAATTCCAATCCCGGAAAACTTCATTTTCTTTGTCAAACTCTCGCTCGTCTTCACCTATGGTCACTGTGAATCTCTTCTCTTCAAAATCAGGTTCCTGTTCTTTACGAATGGTGGCTTTTTTTAAAACCTACCACGGGATGAAAAAGAATGTTAATGTGCGTCAGAACTTGGGGGAACGTGGGCAGCCTGAGGAGTGGCAGGATCACCAGCATTGGGGGGCACAGGACCCCAGTGCTTTTCCGGGGAAGGACCTGAAGGCAGTGTCTGCCCATGAGCAGCGGAAGGCACAAAGGAGCTAGTCACTTCTGCCAATGGCCTGGGGACGGGGCCAAGGAGCCTGGGCGGGGTGAACTTGGGGATGAGACCTGCACCAAACACACATGGGTAGGGCTGAAGTCTCAGGTGGGCAGAGAACGGGCTGTCTGCACCTTGCTGAAGAGGACTCAGTACTGGGAACTACAATGGGCTCCAGGGTGCAAGGTGGGCACTGGGGCCAGAGGGGACAAAGGGACTCTGCAAGGAGACCAGGTGCTGGGTCTTGGCCGTGGGGAGTGGGGCTGTGTCTACTGGGCCTGCCTGGCGTACTGGGGTTTGCTGTGCCCTGGCCTCCCTGCAGAGAGCCAGACACCATTTCCTGTCCCTTAACTCTTTTTTTGTTTTTTTTTTTCCGGTACCGGGAATGGAACTCACGACCTTGCGCTTGCCAAGCAGGCGCTGTGCCGCTGTGCTAAATCCCCAGCCCCCTGTCCCTTAACTCTTAAAGGAAACCCAGAAATCTTCCTGGAACTTCCACTGAGCTTTCCCTCCAGTGCCGGGGGACCATTACCTCCTTTGCGTGCCGGAGTCCACGTTCCCAAGCACTCTCTGTTGGAGGCTCAGGAGGGGGTGGAGGCAAAATTTCATCCACTACTGGCCCACCCTGTGAAACAATAACAAGGTGAAGTTGAGAAAGCAAATAAAACTGTAAGACCTATAAAGAAATAGGGGAGCCAAAGCATGAACCGAAAAAAGCTGGGCACCGGTGCTGCTCCCCCGCCCACGTGGCAGAGCACCCTGGTGTGTTGGGGCTGCTTCTGCACGGTGCCAGAAGGTGCACCTGCAAAGGCAGGTACCAGATGCCTTCCTAGGAGGCACACTGTTGCCTTAGGCTGGAACCCACAGTGCCTGGTATCTGGCACGCATGCGATGGGGGAACAGGTGTGCACGCACCCACGGGTTGGCAGGCATCAGGGGGTGAGGTCCGAGTGGCGGGGCACCGTTGGGTGGGAAGGGCTCAGCTTTGGTGATGAGGGAGTAGTTCCCCTTGTCGTTCACTCCGGGGTGTATGAACCTACAATTCATCCCCCAGGTACAGTTCCCTGTGGAAATAAAGGCAGGTCAGCAAGGGCGGACACTGCAGCTGGATGGGGACAGCAGCAAGTGCCGAGGCCTCGGTGCGGCCAAAAGCCAGCCAGTTCTCCAGCGGGTCACCCGCTGAGGCGGGGTGTGGGCCAGGCCTGGAGGCCCCAACACTCATGGCACACATGAGCACATGTGGGCTTCTGTGGTAGGCAGGCTGGCAGGAAAGTACCCTCTAGAGGAGGGCTCTGATGTGCCAAAGTCACTGTAAAGACGGAGTCCTAAGATGGACCCTCTGCAATTGAGGTTCCACCTCTGTAGCTGAGGTTCCACCTCTGGAACGTTGAGGAATCCACAACACACCCCAACAATACACTCTGGGTCTGTGCTGACACATACAGACTTTCTCATCATTTCCTAACTGATACAGCCAAGAACTGTTTATACAACAGTCACATTGTCAGGCAGCCTACTTTACCTAGAGACGCCTTAAGAGTGTACAGAAAGTATATACTAGCTCTACGCAAAGCCTGTGCCACTTTATAATGAGAACTTAAGCAGCCATGGCTTCTCATGTCCCCAGGGGTCCCATGGTCCTGGAACTCATGACTATGGATGCCAGCGAGTGTTGCACAGACCACTTTCCAAGCATAGCGACAGTGCACTAGGGGCCCCCGCAGGTGTGGACTGGCACTGCACACTGCAATCCTCACTCAGAAACCCTCGTACTCAAGGACAAATCGAAGGGAATCACAGAGGATTACCAGCACTCTACAGGTCTGTCCCAAAGTGATCTGGACCACAGCCACCCCTGGGGGCACACTATCAAGAGAGATGGTCTAGTAGTCACACAGGCAGAGACAGAAGAGGAGCAGGATGTGAGAGGTTGAGAGAAAGCTGAGGGCCAGACACAAAGCATCCCTGCAGGACTACAGGACACCAGGTGATAGGGTCTGGCTCGCTTGGAGCCTGCTGAAGTGCAGAAGAGGAAGGCAGCTTGAGGAAGGCCAGCCAGCAACTGCTGGACCAAGACCCCATCACCCCACTGAAGGGGGAACCTTCCTGCATGTGAAAAGCCTGGAAGGATGCACATTGAAATGTCAGGGCTGGAGAAAGAAAGCCTTTCATCTTCTTGACTCTCTATGGGCACTATTACTTTCTTAATTTAAAAAGTCAGTTTGTTAAAAAAAAGGGGGGCGTGTGGACAGAAGCAAAACTGAAGATGTTTTAGGATGGTCTGGTCTTCTGCTTCTCTGGGTGGGCTGTGACTGCATGTACGAGCCAGGCTCCTGGTGACTATAGTCTGTGGCCTGTGGCCTGAAGTCTGCATCTATGGGGTGGGGCAGAGGCCAGGAAGGGTGGGACCATGGACCTGCTGGACAGCTGCTCTTTCACTGCTAAAATCACTAAGTACTATTTTTGGCACATGAGGTTTCAAAAGCAAGAAATGCTCTTTCTCGTAACCGGAGGCTGGGTACCTCAGCCCTTCTTTTATTAATCTTTTAACCTGTGTAAATACTATTATTTTACATGTGTGAAAGAAGTCATAATAAAACTAACACTGGAACACCCGTAAATGAAAAGCACCCACACTGTCCAGGCTCACAGTGAAGCTTCCTTCCTAGCCCGAGCCTGCAGAACCCTGGCAGCAGCACTCAGCAGTGCACTGGGCTCGTGCACTCGCACATACACTTCGCCTTCTGTCCTGGGCACACTACATACTCTGTGAACCTCTTTTTTTTTCACTAAACAAAATATCTACAAAAATGGAACCAGTATGCTCAACAGCAACTGTATCAGCGAAACAGTGGAGAAGCCCACCATGGGGCCCTTCGTAGAAATCAAGGAAGGGAAGAGATAGGAAGAGGAAGCTGCTCTCTTGTCAGGGAGCTGCTGGCCACGGCCCAGATGTCCAACCAGGGCCCCCACCTCCCAGCGTGACCATGTTGGGAAGAGCGATCAACAGGTGTCTGTGGCGTCCACAGGTGTCTTGCACAAGCTCCAGGGACTAGTGGGCCCAGAAGCAGCCAGCTGTGTGGTTGTGGTTTGTGGACTGTGTCTGCAAACCATCTTGGAGAACAGCTCAGATGAGTCTGCTGTGCGGCTCATCCACCCAAAGCCCTTGCTCCTTGTTAGACATGCAAACTGAGACAGGCTGACGTGTCTTAACTCCTCCCGCTGGCTTGAACCACCGCTGGTACAAATGGATCCAATCACTTTTATCAGTCTTCTTACTACTAAAGTTAATAAAAAAAACTGCCCAATGGGACAGTCCTGCATGCACCTCCAGTGATTCCAGCTGCCTGGCAGTGAGACACACGAATTATGGCCCCAGTATGAATGTATTAAGTCAGTGATAGGAAACCTACAGCATGAGCACACAGCTGGCTATTTGTTATCACTGAAGGCTTGGAAAGGCTTGCCATCACTGTGTTAAATACATCTTGGTTTCCTTTCCCATTAGTCTGAAAAACTTGGAACAAGAAAAAGACACAGACTGTAAGGGTGAAACAAAGATTAAAGTGCTTCACTCATTGAACACTTCATGAAAGGCAAGGAGAATAGATAAGGAGCTAATAGTAAAATCCCAAGACAAATCTAAGAAATCTATGACTCTATACCTGACAAGCTACAAACCTCTGGGCTCACAGAGAACAGAGACAGACGGAGGAAAGTGATGATGTCTATCTACTGAGAAGGACAAACTCTGCTTAAGAACACACTCCTTTGGCTAGGTGTGGTGGTACATGCCTGTAATCCCAGCACATGGGAGGCTGAAGCAGGAAGACTGCATCAAGTTCAAGGCCAGGCTGGGTTACATGGTGAGTTCAAGTACAGCACGGACTACACAATGAGGCCCTGTCTCAAAAAGAAGAAAAAAAAGAAAAGAACACACTCCAGAACTGGACTGCGCTGACAGCAGTACAACTTGGAAAAATGACTAAACTCACTAGATTGCCCACTTAAAATGAGTGAATTTTATGGCATGTAAATTGCACCACCATAAAACTGTTTACTTAAAAAAAGAACTGTACTGAATGTAGTGGCCCACACCTATAATCCTAGCTACACAGGAGGCTGAGGCAGGTAGAATGCAGGTTCCAGGCCAGCCTAGGCAATTTAGCAAGACACTGTCTCAAAAAACAATTCAGTGGCAGAGTGCTCACCCAACATGTGCAAGCTCCTAGTTCAATCCCTAATACAGACAGAAAGGAAAAAAACCCCACACTCAAGTGTACGACTTGATTAAATTACTGTCCTTACTGATTCATCAACATGAAGCGAAACTGGCATTTTTACATGGAGTGCAAGCTGGAGAATACCTTAGTATTAACAAAGGCTTATATTACTGTAAGAGTAATTTAACCTCAGGGGTTCCCTAAAAGGGTCTCCAGGACCCCCAAGGTTCATATACCACACTTTGAGGCCTGCTGTTTTAAACGGAGAAGAGGTTCTAAAATAAGCAAAAGATGTTTTTCTAAGGCAGATATACAGATGGCCAACAAGCATGTTAGAAAGATGCCTAGCATCACTAAACACTAGGGAAATGCTATATAAAAAGACACACCCAGAAAATAACACTGTTGGCGAGGATGTGGAGATCCTGAAACCCTGTGAGCTGCTGAGGGGATCATAACACGGTGCGGCAACTATGGAAAAGTTTGGTAGTTCCTAAACCCTTAAAAATAGGGTCGGGGGGTCAGAGCACTGCCTAGAATGTACTAGGCCCTGGGTTTGATCCCAAGCGCTGGGAAAGAAGGAATGACCACATGATGTACAGTTCCATTTCTGGGTCTCCACTCAAAAGGATCGAAAGTAGGGTCTGGAAGAGATTTTTGCACCCCCTCCACACACAACAGTCGAGGCAGAGGGAGGGGAGAAAACAAAACAGTCTGTCCACATGCCAGAGTATCATTCTGCTTTGAGAAGGAAACCATGGCACATGCCACCTCAGAACACAAATGAATCCTGAGGATTATGCCACACAGCAGAAGACAATCACAAAAGGGCACAAGCTCTGATCCCACTTGGGAGAAGTCCCTAATGTAGGCACATTCACAGGGACAGAGGGGAGTGGAGGGTGCTGGGCTGGGGCAGAAAGAACAGAATTGTGGTTTCCTCATCTGCAGTTTCAGTTTTACAAGCTAAAAACATGCTGGGTGTGCACGTTGATGACAGTTGTATATTATCTCTATCAAGTAACACTGAACCATACACTTAAACATGGCTAGGATGGTAAATTCTGTGTTATGTGTATTTCATCACAATTTTTAAAAAATGCAGCAGAAACAGGGGCTGTGGCCCATGGGCTGAGCTGGTGGCCCTTCACAGGGGGACCTGTTGGAAACCCACAGCAGGACACAGCTTAAAGAAAGTACTACCTGTTCCTCTGTGGCTAGAACCTTGTGTTGGGATTCGCTACAGACATAGGACAGGCAAAAGCATGCCATAAACAGTGCTGAGTCTCTGAAATGTCTGAGTCATGTTTCTAGTACATTTTGTTGCCGATGGCCATAAACATTAACAGGTCCACTGTAGATTAATCTACAGATCACAACCCATCATGGATATACAGCTGACAAAATTTTAAACAAGATTTTCCAAATTAAGACTTAATTCACAAACTGTAAACTGTCCCTGCCGTTTGAAGTATACAATTCAGTAGTCTTTAGTACACTTACCAAGCTGTACAACCATCACCACCGTCTAGTTCCAGGACATTCTAGCACTCCAATGAGAAAACCTGGTACTTATTCACTGCCAGCTCCCACCCTCAGCTGGTGCAGTGACCAGTCCACTTCCTGTGCCTGTGGTGTCACCTGCTGTGGACATTTCCTATACATGGACTCACATGACATGGGCCTAGTGGGACTGGCTTCTGTCACCCTGCATGTCCCCAGCTTTCCTCCATGCTGCTGCATGTGTCAGCCTGCTCACTCTTTAAGGTCAAGGAGGGTTTCCCTGTGTGACTGGGCATTCTGCTCAGCCACTCAGCAGCTTTGCACATCTAGTTGTTCCTTTCCCTTGGCCGCTGTGAAACATGCTCCCATGAACTCCAATGTACGATGTTTTTTCCAGACGATGTTTTCATCCCTCTGGGACAGATACCTACAGGTGAAACTGCTGGGTCAGTAACAGCTCTATCCTTTAGCTTTTGAGGAACAGCCAGACCACTCCCAAAGAGACAGGCCATACCATGGCACATCCCCCGGCATCAGGCAAGGGTTCCTGGGTATCTATGTCCTGGCCAACACAGCAATTTCCCTTTGGTTTTAAAGTAACTTCTCTTGTTACTGAAGGGATCAAACCGATTCATCTCAACTTAACAGGAGGCTTATAAACTGCAGGTAAGCAAAAACATCTATATCCAGGTAAATTTCTCATAACCAAGACAAGCTGAGGTTTTAGAAGACTGAAAGAATTAAACATTTCCTTTCATACTATGTATACCACATTATAAAATGAACACAATAGGGAGGAAAGGTGGGTGTACTTGAAAACCATCTCTGAAACAAGAACAACTAAGCTACAAAATACCCCACTGGCCCTTGCACTGCAGAAAGCCCTCTATGGCCTCACTCATGAAGACCCAGGCTCAGCTGAGTCCAACCTGGGGGATGACAGCGTCCCACCCTGCCCACCCCATGCAACACCCATGGCGGGAGGCAGGACTCTTGTCCTCATGCACCCAGGTGTCCCCCAGAGATTCAGTCTACACTGCTAGTCATGGCTTTGATTTATCTGCTTTGTGCTTCTGGAGTTAAATTCTGAGAACCAGTTCAGTGGTGGGAGGTCTGGAGCCTCCATACAGGCCTTACTGCTGCAGAGCCATGACTAGGCCCCACCAGATAGATGGTCACACTGCTGCCCGAGACAAGAGCACTGCACATGCATGTCTGTGAGTAGTGCTGGTCCAAACTGACAGACACCTACGTGCATGTGCACAGGTTTTTATCACTTTGGTCTGGAAATCTGAGGGAGTGCTGCCACTTACTCTCACTCCACTATGAGAAAGAGATCTTCTGCTTCTATTTAAACTTTCTGAAAGGCCAGAGCTTTAAAGATCTAAGAGGGCACATGTACTGCTGTGCATTCTTAGATAGCTGTGGGATAGATCATCATGCAACCATCTGTATGGCACATGACTAAGTCGGATCTGGGTCTACAATCCATGGCCGCCCCCATACCAGGGCCCACACACGTGCACATGACTCAGATGAGCCAAGTGCATGCACCCCAGAGGGGACTCCTGGCTTGAGGGGTAGGGCTGATTGCAGGCCGCGCCAGGCAGAGCCCATCCTGGTGGCAAAATGGAACTCCACCGCCCCCCTGTGGAAGCTCCTGCCCATCCCTCCCAACCAAGGAGGAAAGTCCACCTTAGCTCTCTGCCCGCCAGGCCCTCTTCCTTCAGGTGTCCCACACGTGCTCAGGATCCAGGAGAAAGAAGTCTGGGCTCCGGAGCAGGGGGCCTTTAAGGTACTAAAGAGAGTGAACACAGGATATTTTGTACCTTTAACCTGGTCTCTGAGTGGTATGGAATTTGGTATTGGTGGAAGAGGAGTGGATAATGGTGTCACAACATCTGGAAAAGAAGTACAGGAAGCTCTTGTGAACTTTAGACTGCACAAGCAGGCTGGCCGCTGAGCAGAGTCATCTAAGGGTGAGAGAAAACATCTTCCTCCCGGTCCAAGAAAAACGCTCAACTACAAGAGATATGCCCAGACTACAGCTGCATGGCAAAGAAACCCTTCCCGACCAGAAATTCTCACTTCCATTTCCGAATCTCTCAAGACTTTACAAAACAAAACAGAGCCGTAATGTCATCGTGCCGAAGGGCTGCACATCACATGTTAACATGTTAGTTCCGGTTTCTAAGCAGGTTCTAGCAGCTGCTCCCTGCTGCAGCTCCTCACTCGCAGTGTCCCCTTGCAGCAGGCAGCCCATGCCTTTGAAGCCCTCCCTCGCCACTGTCCAGTCCCTCCAGTGAAGGATGGGCCCGACACGTCCTGCAGAAAGTGGCCACCTCTCACAGAGTGCCCAATGTTAATGCTGGTGTCACAGCATTTGGCCTCATAACTCAGAGAAACAGTTGCTGCTGTCAGTCAGGCTGCACTGTGGGTGGTGGGCCTAGAAGCCCAGGCACAGGGATGGCCAGGCAGGCTCCACCCCTGGCAGCCTCACAGGGAGGCCAGGATGGGCAAAGGCCTCTCCTGGTTGCCAGCACTGCCACCACCTCTGGTTGCCTGCCCCGGCCACCATCCAGGCCCCACAGACAGTTACCTTTCATGAAGAATCGGCAGGTGGGGCGAGGCCTCACCTTCCGGTCACTGGGGTCCTTCACTTCGCCTTCTTCTAAGTCATCATCCTGGAACAGAGGAACAGAGGACATCCTGGAACAGTGGATTGGTCTGCCCATGCCACCACCCCCACCATGCCTGAGAGCACAAGAGCCGGGCGAGGGGAGCGTCAGCATCCTGCACACAGATTCCTGTTGACCATCCCAGTCTTGGATTCCCACCTACAGCTACGAGCCGAGGGCTCCAGGGACGAATGTTATAGAAACACTCTGGGGGCACAGAGCCCTATACACAGCAGGGCTTTACACGCTTAATGGACACCTTTGGGCAGGAAATGGTTACACCTGCTCTTTAATATTTTGTATATTTAAACAAACGCTATGGAACAAAATAACTTAAGGTACTAAACGGTACCTAAAACGGTAACTTCCTCCAATTTAAGTCTTGTGAGAACCTGGTGTGGTGGCACACAACACTCTGAGAAGCTAAGGCAGGAGGATAGCATGTTTAAACTCAGCCTGGGCTACTTAGCAAGACCCCATCTCAAAATACAAAAATAAAAAGTGGCTGGAGGTGTAGCTCCTCAGTGTGAATGCCTTGGGTTCAGTCCCTTGTAGTGTGCAAAAAAAGTCCTGCAAGAGAAGTTAGGTAACACAGTTCTGCAACACCACTTTGCAGCTTTTAGTCTAGAATCCTTAACCACACTGTCCAATTTAGGGGGATCTGGGAGCTCAACAAAGACCAAAGCCTGGACCTCACTCCTAACCAGCATCGAGACTTGACCCCATGCTCTGGGGGCACCTGTGCCCATGGACCTGCGGCTGAAACATCCACCTGTGCCTCTCAGCTGTGCCCTTCCTCAGCTATCTCAGCCCACATCAGCATCCAGTGCCCTCCTGACAGCCTAGCACAAGAGGAAGAACAGAACAACACGTCCCTAAGCTTCCCAGAAGACTACCCAGATCAGAGAAACCAGGACGCCGAGTCCAAGACCTGCACAGACACATAGAAGGGGGCCTGGTGCAGAAGGGGAGGCCCAGGGGCAGCAGGGGCCAAGCTAGCTCTGCTCACTCCCCAGAGATGGACCAGAGATGCCACGCTGCACCTGCCTCTCTGTGCAGCTATCTGAATAGGTGCCACTCACGGAGGGCTTGGCTGGTGGGGACACACTGGCCACCACAAGCAGGTGCTGCGCATAGCTGGTGCACATCCTGTGTGCAAAACTATCCCAACCACTATGCAAGAGACACTGCCTGAGAGGCATGCACACCAGAAGGACACTGGCAGTCCACAGGTAATTCAAGCCCAATGGCGCAAACAGTATGGTTCAGATGGGAAAAACTTCAATGGCTTACTATACAAATTGATGTCCCAAACAAGGGAACTGGACCCCAAGCCAACCTCTCCATGCAACAACCCAGGTCCTGAAAGGGAAGGAAGTGACACGGCCTGTGGGAGGAGGAGTGAGAAGCTGCAGAGTAAAAAGGAAGACATCCTTGGGCAGAGGTGCTCTGCTGGGAGATGGACTCTCAGGAGCCTCACCACATTCATGTTATCTGTCTATTTATTTATTCTTTGTCATTTTGAGACACACAGCGCCCACTTCCAGGGCAGACCTGTATCCACGGGTCCCGTATTCAGGAGCAGACTGCAGGGGCCACCGTGGAAGGAAGGAAGCAGCCACCTGTGCTGGAGGACACTGAGCCCCACACTGCATCCAACAGGGCTCTGGGACCCCCACAAAAGGGTGTTAAGCAGGACACACAAAACAAGAACATACTACAAGATCATGTAAATGTCTGAGACAGTGCAACTAGAGATTCACTCTACTCATGCTCTCTAGGGGCAATCAGCAAAGACCACAGGGCTGTCCAGGTGGCTCAGCACATCCATCTGCCCACAGCTCACACCCACAGTGCACCTGACAGTCACCAGTGCCCACCTCTGCCAAGGCTGCCATGAGCCCAGGAAAGCCTAGACCTGTGATGCCCCTGGCCCCAGCACTCAGCTGAAGCAGGAAGGGGCTGCAGGGGACACCCAGCACACAGGCCCACTGCACTCTGATGTCTTCTCAGAATTCAAAAGCCTGAGCTCACAGGAAGTGCAGCTCACAATCTCACCCAAATTGATGAATCTGAGTCTCATAGCATCATCTCCCTTTGCCAGCACCGAGGTGCAGGTAAATGTCCCAAAGTGGCAGCACAGATGGTAACATAAAAGGAAGCCTGCATGACAGTCTTTCCAGGCCCTTGGAAGGTCACATCACCCAGTTACGAAGAGGAAACACTTCTTTATTTGTAGGAAAAAAGACCTAAACTTCTAGGCTTGTAGTCACATAGGTCCCAGAGTTGAGGAGCCACAGCCAGGTCTGCGACATCTACACTATACTAGGTCTCAGCATGGCCAGCACCAGACTTCCACAGGTCACATCTTCAAAAGGATGGGTGCACATGAGTTAGCACACACCCAGAGGGGCTGGCACACTTGACAACCTTCCCTGCCATCCATCCACTCCCGAGAGGTGTTCAGCACCTTGTCTACTGTGACAAGGCAGGTGGGCGCTCGAGAAACCCATGCTGTTCCGATCTGCTCAGACCCTGGCTTGAGTCTCTGAGTTCAACAGCTCTGAAAAGTACCACGCAGCACTTCAAACTGTTTCCTCCAAAACACTCCCGATCCGAGTTCTTCTCACAATCACCTCCCATGGAAACGTGACCTCCTGTGTCTGGTCACATGTTCCTCTTGCCCTCCCTCGACCTGAAGGCCAGACTTACAGAAGCTACCATGGAGTGTGGGCTTCAAGCAAGCTCATGAAGCCGGCTGCAAGCAGGCAGGTAGGTTTTCTGCACAGGCCTATTTCCCACACTCATGTGCATACCAGCCCCACCTCCTACACGCCTGTCTCTCTGCCCAGGCCAACCCCAGGATGCATCCTGCACCAGCCAGCACCTACGGGGGCAGGAGGCCTTGCTGGCAGGGGCTGTCAATCATACTTACGTCTATCTCTCCATCATCGATTTCTCCATCATCATCCTCTTTTTTTTTCTCCTTGGCAGCTTCCAAGGGTTCTTTTTCTCCTGTACTTTGGACGGTGGGCTTCCCCTCCTGGGCAGGAACGTTATCCCCCTTCTCCTCATCATCCTCAGCGCCTGCCTTCTCGGCCTCATCCTCCTGGACAGCGGGGGCCGACTCCTCAGGGACCTCCTCGTCATAGTCCAGTTCATGCTCGTCCAGCTCCCTGGTCACAGAGGAAGCTTCGTCTCTGAGGTCACTTGTCTGGTCTTCCTCGCCATTGTCCCCCTCCTCTTCACATGGGGAGCCTGTCTGGCCCCTGCTTAGCTCGCGAGCCTCAGAGTCCTGATCCTGGGACTTGGGCTCACTGGCTCTGTCCTCTTCATCAGAGCGGTTCTCCTCCTCCTGGCCCAGTACTGGGGCTGCATGTTCCTCATCCTCTAAATCAGAAGCCCTCCCCACAGCTCCGTCCAAATCCTGATCAGACCCGCTTTCCCTCAGAATGTCATCATCCGAGAGTGCTGGTTGCTCCTCTTCGTCCTCTGGGGAGCGAGGATCCCGTTCAGGACTCTCGGCCACATCCATCGGTACCCACGGTTCTGCAAAAGACAGAAGAGATTCAGAGGAGGCAGCAAGATGGGGAGTGAATGTTGGCTGGCTCCTGATCCACACAGCTCCGCCCAACATGTGCACCACCTGGACAGAGGCCACAGCTGTCCCCGTGAGGCTGGACACACTTAACTCTGTGAACAGCAAGCATGTCCTGCTCTTTGCAATGTGGTAGCATGAGATTTCCCAGAATGCCTGGATAGCATTCCACTCTCACATGCAGCCGCACACTTAACAGAAGTGAGTGATGAGCTACTGACTGGGAGAAAAGACCATGTGGATCCACAGTAAATCACACTAAGTCCTAAGACGTCCACTACAGACCTCAACAGAGCTTGAAGGCGTGTGTCTGAAGTCACCTAAGGCTGGAGAGTGCAGCAGGTGTGGTTTCTAGGCTCAGGCCTCTGCCAGTTGGCCGGCTTGGAGATGCTGCTCCAGGACCTCTGGCACAGTATACAGCCCACCTTCCACAGTGCCTGGGGCTACACTGGGCTCCAGGGACACAGAAGAGTCACAACCACCATTTTCACAGGGCTGCCTGTCGAGCAGAACAACTCTGGAGAAAGTCTACACGTTATGTTGAATGTTCAGGTAAAAGACTAACGGTGTCATCTTATAAGATCTCACTTCACTAATTCAGATTTAATCATGAAGTAAATGTTTTCTAGTTTTTGAGTTTCCAAATCTCACAGAAGAAATGCTGCTCCCTCTGTTTAAAGGCAAACCCCAAAGGGGAATCAGGTGTAAACCTGTAAGCCAATGCTGTCCCTGCCAGCACTCGGTGACAGCAACAGCGTCATTCTTCAGTGTGTGAAGCTGTTTTCAAGTTTTTATTTAAGATAAAGTGCCATAAAAAGTCAATACCCAAAAATCAACAGCATTCCTGTACATGAATAACAAACTCACTGAAAGAGAAATTAGGGAAACAACACCTTTCACAACAGCCATCCAAAAAATGAAATACCTAGGAATCAGTCTAATGAAGTAAAAGACCTCCACACTGAAAACTACAGTACTCTAAAAAGGAGATCAAAGAGGATTTCAGAAAATGGAAAGATATCCCTATCTCTTGGTAGGAAGAACAAACACAGTGAAAATAGCCATGCTTCCAAAATTGTTATACAGATTTAATGCAATTCCAATAAAAATTCCAACAACATATCTCACAGAATTAGAGAAAACAATCCAAAAATTTATTTGGAACCAGAAGAGACCTAGAATAGAAAAGGTCATTCTGAGCAACAAAGGCCAGGCAGGCAGCATCACAATCCCAGACTTGAAATTATACTGCAATGCTACTGTGATAAAAACAGCACAGTACTGACAAAAAACCCCCAAAAAACCAGACCCGAGGATCAATGGAACAGATTAGAAGATGCCGAAACAACTCCAAACATACTCAGCCACCTTGTCTTTGACAAAGGTGCCAAACACATTCACTGGAAGAAAGATAGCCTCTTTAATAAACGGTGCTGGGAAAACTGGCTTTCCACATGCCCAAGATTAAAATTAGACCCATATCTTTCACCATGCATTAAACTAAAATCAAAATGGATCAAAGACCTAAATATTAAAACAGAAACATTAAATCTGCTGGAAGACAGAATACATAGAACTCCTGAAGACACTCGTACAGGCAGACTTTATGAACAAAACCCTGATTGCACAGGAACTATCACAAAGAATCAACAACTGGGATCGCATCTTAATTAAAAAGCTTTTTCACAGTGAGAGAAACCACCAACAGAGTGAAGAGACAACCCACAGTGTGGGAAAAATTTTTTGCCAGCTGTGCCTCAGACAAGATTACCATCTACAATATAAAAACAACTAAAAAAAATCAGACCCCCAAATTCAAAGACCCAATCCAAAAATGGACATCTGAGATGAATATGCACTTCTCAGATGAAGAAGTACAAACGGCAAATAACTATATGAAAAATGCTCAACATCATTGGTCATTCGAGAGATGCAAATTAAAACAAAACAGATTCCATCTCAACCTGGAAAGAATGGCTGTTATCAAGAAATCAACCAATAACAAATGCTACAGGGGCTATGGGGAAAAAGGAACCCTTCTCCACTGTTGGTGGGAGTGTAGACTGGTGAAACTACTGTGGAAATCAGTGTGGAGATCCCTCAAAAAACTAGGACTGAAGGTCCCATTTGACCCAGCTATTCCCCTGCTGGGTATCTTCCCAGAAGAATTAAAGACATCGTACCATAGTGATATATGCACACCCATGTTTATGGTGGCACAGTGTGTAATAGCCAAATCTTGGAATCAGCCCAAATGCCCATCAGCTGGTGAATGAATAACAATGCTGTGGATGTTCATACAATAGTGTACTACTCTATCCTAAAGAAGGATAAGCTTGACACATGTCTAGGTAAATGGATGCACCTTGAGACCACACTCAAGTGAAATAAATTGGACACATGTATGTAAATACCACATTGTTTAGAAACCCAAACTGTAAATAAGGACCAAAGTGTATAATACATATTGTGAAATAAGAAAATGTTCAAATGGGGAGGGGAACAAGGGAGGAGGCAGGGGAAAGAAAAAAAAAAAAAAAGGGAAAAGTGAAAAAAATGAGAAAAGAAGGAAAAAATGGAAACAAAGCTTTTGTAAATGGGGAGGGGAGGAAAGGTTGGACGGAGGGCAGGGAATGCGGAAAAAAAAGTTGTGTCACGTATAGGTACAAATTCTCTATGATGGGGGCCGGGGATATAGCTCAGCACACAAGTGCCTGCCTGGTGTGCACAAGGTCCTGAGTTTGATTCCTGATACCAAAAAAACCCACAAAAAAATTATCTATGATGGATATGATTATCATATATACCTAGTAAAAGTTCTTTTTTAATATACCAATAAAATCTGAATGTAAAAATAAAATAAAATAAAATAAGGTGCCAGCGTCAGGCTGCTGGGTATTTCACCAAGACCTATCAAGAGCTCATTTACTCAAGATGTAAGTTTAAACTCACCAGATCATATTTATCTGCACATTTCATATATTCTAAGTTCATGTTTGTTTGCACATTAAAGATAAAAATGTATCTTTTAAATTTCTAAAAACAAGGGGCTGGGGATTTAGCTCAGCGGCAAAGCGCCTGCCTGGCAAGCGCAAGGTCGTGAGTTCGGTTCCTGGTACCGGAGAAAAACAAACAAACAAAATAAATAAATAAATAAATAAATTTCTAAAAACAGTCTGCAAAAAACAGAAAGGTCAGCCCGGTGTGGTGAGGCACACTTGTAATCCCAGCACTCAGGAGGCTGAGGCAGGAGGATGGTTGTGAGTTGGAGGCCAGTCTGGACTATATAGTGAGTTCAAAGCCAACCTGAACTACATAGTGAGACCCTGTCTCAAAAAACGAAGCAAAACGGAACTCCACACTAGAGAGGTGGAGTCTGGAAATGAGAAGGGGATCTAGAAAGGGGAGTAAAGAAGAGGAGACAAAGTAAAAATGATTAAAGTTGCCACATATGTAGGTACCAACCCCCAAGAAGAATGCAGCTATTATGTATCTTAAACGTATACTAACAAAAAAGAAACTAAAATGAAAAAAGTAAAAAATAAATAAAAGGATGACCTGGGCTGGGGATATAGGTCAGCCGCATAAGTGCCTGTCTGGCAAGCGCAAGGTCATAAGTTCGATCCCCGGTAGTGGAGGACAACCTGTTTAAATATGTAGTATCAAAAGCTGGTATATAATTCGACCGCATATATATATTGCTGTTAAATGATTGTTATACCTCAAAACATGTTAAAAGATATCGCTTAGTTGCCGGGTGTGTGGTGGTGCATGCCTGTAAGCCCAGCACTCGGGAGAGTGAGACAGGAGAATCGTTGCAAGTTAGAGACTAGCCTGGGCTACAAAGTGAGCTCAAGGCCAGCCTGAACTGTATAGAGAGACCCTGTCTCAAAGAGACAAAAAAAAAAAGAAAGAAAAAAAAGGTATCACTTAAAAGTCACTACTTTATAAAAACGCAATTACCAATAATATAAATTGATAAATCAACCAATCCTAAGTCAAAAGCAGACAGCTGTTTTTTTGTTTTTAGTTTCTGAGATAGGGTCTCACTATGTATCCCCAGGCTGGCCTTGAACTTACAATCTTCCTGCCTCAGCCTTCTGAACTAGAATTACAGGTGTGCTAAAAGGAAGACCGTTTTTTAAAAGATGACTTTTTGACTTCTAATTACACTCTCCAGAGGCAGCAGTAGCAGGGAATGTTATCCCTGAAGCAGCAATCTCTGTTGTCCTGAGGAAATCAAGGAGCTCATGGTCACAGCTTCTGGATCTCCACCAGGACAGAATGAGCCTTGTGAACTCAGAGCTCCCCTGCAGCTGGGCTGTGCCCAAGTGTGTGGTCTGCTGAGGGCTCAGACGTTCTCACAGAAGGCCAGGCTGCCACAGGATTCATGTAAACTACAACTTCGAAAGCAGGGATGACCACGTGGGCAGCCAACTGGTGGTACCAGTCATTTACTGTGATTTTAAACTTGCTTGAAACTTAGCATCAGACACAAACTAAACTGAATCCAGAAACAGAAACTCCCAAAGGGGTATCACTTCACACCGAGACAAGGAAGTGCGGACCGGAAGTGGAACCCGGGAGGCTGGGAATGGCACTTAACGGGTCCAAGCTGAAGCCTCGTCACCCTGCCAGGGTACCTGTCAGCTTCTCCTGACCTCTGGAGGAGCTTGTGCAGCTCGCCAAGGTGGTCCAAGTGGCCCGGCAAGCACCTTCACTGTGCCAGTTAGCTGTAGGGCCTTCTGGAGTCCTGGACTGCTCTGAGAATCCAGCAAGTGGACCCTCTCCACAGAAAACCTGGACATACAGGATCTTCCCGCCCTAGCGAGTCATACCCGAGACCCACCCAGATTAAGAGCTCCTGCCTCCCCACCGCTGTTCACTGTTCTGTTGCGCATCTGTACCTACCAGGCTGGGTCCCAACAATTTGTTTGTAGGCTTTTTTATT